TCTCCCAATATTCACTTTCACTAATTTGGCAGGTGCTAATTTTGCCCATTCTCACCACCTTACCATGCTTACACATCCATAATATCTGATTCCTCTGTTATTTGTTTCTCTTTTTTTTGTATTTTTTTTTTAAATAGAAATCAGTGACATCTCAAAGTGATGTCAGTGTTCAAGCTGTGGTGATAGAGTTATATACAAAAAAAGATTGTTTATACTATGATACAATTGCACAAACAACTCATAATTACTATCTTCACAATTCTTAAAAATTATGATCTGATTTTAAGTTTAATTCTTATCTGTTGTCTCCCATAAGTTTTCTGTGTTTTTTGTACTTCGTTATTTCTCCTGGACCTTCAACAAATTCCAAACTGCATAATTCCAATTGGGCTTTCAAAGTTCAATTACAATATTCCTTCTTCTGTCTCCCAGATCTCAGGTCGAGAAATTACAATATATTACTAAATTACTCTAATAATTTAATTAATTTAGTGATACCATGTTGGCTAAAATTTGGTCAATATACTAAACTGAAATTACTAAGAGAGCAATCTATTCACATCATTTGTTTTTCAGATATTTCAGCTCATGAGAATTTCCATCTCCATTTAAGCTCTATGCTATGTGAAACCTTTCCTGCACCTGTGCTGCCAAATCCCACCAAGGTAATATATTCAGAAAATGTACAACAAAACATAAAACAATTACCTTATAGAATCTCTCAAAGGAAATATTTATGTTGTCTTCTAATTAATTTAGTTCTGGATGTTGATTTTACACACTGGTATACTTGTGTCCTTGGTTCTTTTCATAAATACATGAAATGGGATGAACTTACTGGCAGCATACACCAGCATAAACTGACTTGATACCAACACTTTGCTGTGTGGCAAGTGTGATGGCAATTTTTAAGAAGGACTCAAGGGAGCTACATTCTGGGGAGCTACAAATCAATCTTTGTTGAGACTGAGAGAATTTGAAGAAACTATTCTAAAGAATAGAATTAGTGGGAAAAGTGGGGAAGGGTCATGGTGTAAGGGAATTCCCTTTTTTAAAGGGAAGTGAGGCCTCGCAAACTGGAGGTCTTCAAGACTCAACAGGTGTAGAGCGGTTGCATGGTAACACTTCTGGCATTCAAAATATCCAGCAAAGTCTCCAACCAAATACAGGCAAAGCAATCTACCATTGAATAAGAAGGAATGCCTGTGCTTGGTTAAAACCAGAAACCAAGGACACAAATAAATAGTCAATATTCATAGCTATGCAAGTAATTAGTAAAATCCTATGAATCACTTTGCTGAGGTCATTGCTGTTCATTACATTTGTAACTGTTGTGTAAAAGGTGATGAACAATGAGATGACATCATTGAAGATATTCAGAGAAGTAAAACCAAATGCAAATCTAAGAACTGCTGAATAATCTTGTGCAGTAAAAAGGTAGTAAAGTGGCAAATGTAAATCAGTACAGGCACACTTCCCATAATGTATGCAGGAAAAAATCCTAACTCTGCTTGTAAACCAGTCTGATCAGGATGTAGCACCTCACAGTTCTGTGAAGATGTAGGAGTAACCTTCAGGAAAAGGCAAAAAAGCCAGTGGAAAAAACAGTGAGGGGAGTACAGATCTACATGGTGCTAGTGTACAAATCAGTGGTGGTCCCATGTTTTGAGTTCTGCGTGGTAGCCTGCTCCTCCTCTGACAAAAGCAGCATCATTAGAAAAGGTTTAGAAAAGAGCAACAAGCATCATCACAGCTATGAAACACTTTTTTTTTTTTTTTTAATGAGGAACAATTAAATAGACTAGAAACCTTAATCCCAGAAGGGATATGGATGAGAAAGAAGTAACGGAGCTCTATGATGCTAAAATCAAGGGAATTAGAAGAGAAATAGCCAAAAGCTGAACTGAAGAATACTTTTCCCCAGAAAGTGGAATTTGGGCATAAAATTTAGCCATTAGCTAGCAAATTGCAAACAAACAAACAAAAAAATGTTCAGTGGTACTCTAGCTGAAAACATTGTGAAGGCTGAAAGTTTACATGGTGTGAAAAGCAATTGGTCATATTTCCAGGTAAAAATGCCTATTCACAACTACTATATGAAATCTAAAAAGCAAAGAAACCGCCTCTGGCTTGGGAAAACAAGCAACGAATCATGGGTGCCAGGAAGAATATTATGAGCAACAAATATTATATGATCTCTCTGATTTTATACCCTTTCTTCATACTTAGTCCACTTGCTTACCTTTGTAACCCTTATCTTTTTAATCACGGTGC